GCTTGGCTCTTCCCTAGAAGGGGTCTCGCTCTGCCCCACAGGCTGGCCTCGGGCTCTGGCTCCTCTTGCGTCAACCTCACTGGGGTTACCGGCCCTGCCCCTGGTCTGTAGGCAGGACCAGGAATTGAATCTCGGCCTCCCACATGGTCCCAGCCTGTAGAACCTAGAGTCTCCACAACGGGCACCTCGGGGGCTAGGCCTGACACGAGAATCTTTTTTTATTTTTCCCAGAGAGGTTTTTGCTATAGGGCGCATGTGCTCGCTAGAGACACAGAGAGAGACAGAGAGACTGAAAGCAAGAAATCACCCCCCAGGGGGGGATGATCACGCCGCAATCCATTCTCCTCTCGGGATCTTGGGCATGCACGCACACGCGGCCGGGGTGAGTTTTAAGCCACCAGATCCAGGACTTGAACCGCAGTCGACTACATGGGAGTCCAGCGACTTAGCTATTATGCTAACTGCTGGTCCCGAGTCCAGCACCTTTAACCACCACGCCACGTAGCAGCCTCATACCCTATAGCAAATTTTTAAAAATAGAGGGGTGGGACCAGTAGATGGCATAATGGTTATATCAGTGGACTCAAACGTAGCCGACCATGGTTCGAGTCCCAGACCCAGTGGCTTAAAACTCACACCAGGTGCATGTGTGTGCATGCCCAAGAGCCAGAGAGGAGAATGGAGGAGAAGGGATTGTATTGTGGCCATCCCCCTGGGAGGTGATTTTTCCCTTTCTCTCTGTGTCCCTCCAGCAAGCATACACACCCTATAGAAAAATCTCTCAGATAGATAGACAGACAGACCTGAAAAGCGTCCAGGCTCCTCCCTTCACAGCCCCCACCCTCATCTCTCCCTCGTGCTGCTCGTCCTGACCTGGGGTGCCTTGAGGGAGCTCCTGCTGCAGGTGGGCCTCTCCCTCCGTTCCACAGGACATTCACCTCAAGCAGCAATACCACTGGGGCCGGTCCGACATCAATTTCCTTTCCAGGTATGTCACCTGGGCACAGGCACATGGAGGAGGATGGCCGGTACCCCCAGGGTTTCCTGAGCAGGTGTGGGGCCAGGCAGAACCAAGACCAGATACCCACTTCCAGGAGTAAGACAAGAACGATTAAGAACACTTCACAGAGGGCGGTCCTGGAAAAATATAAAAACAGGACCAGCAGGTGGGGTAGTTAAGGCAGTTGGATCTCACATGCCAGCTGCACAGTTTGAGTCCCAGACCCAGTGACTTGAGACGTACACTGGGCCTCTGTGTGTGTGGTGTGTGCCCAAATCCCAGGAGAATGGAGGAGAAGGGAGTGCAGTGTGGCCATCTCCCCCTTGAAGGGTGATTTCTCACTTTCTATTTCTCTCGCTCTCTTTCTCTCCGTGTCTCTCTCAGTGAGTCAGTGCATGTGGCCTATAGCTGAATGGAAGAACGGACAAGTGGATGGATGGATGGGTGGGTGGACGAATGGATAGATGGGATGATGGATGGATGGGAAGATGGGTGGATGGCTGGGTGGGTGGGTAGGTGGGTGTATGAATGGATAGATGAGTGGATGGGTGAATGGCTGGCTGGATGGACAGAGGGATGGACGGACGGACGGATGGATGGATGGGTAGATGAATGGGAGGATGGCTGGATGGATGGGTGGATGGATGGGAGGACAGCTGGATGGATGGGTAGATGGATGAAGGGATGGGTGGGTGGATGGATAGATGGATGGAGGGATGGGTGGGTGGATGGATAGATGGGTGGATAAATGGATGGGTGGGTAGATTGATTAATGAGTGGGTAGATGGTAGGATGGATGGATGGATGGATGGATGGATGGATGAATGGCTAGATGAGTGGATGGTTGAATGACTGAATGGCTGGCTGGATGGACGTATGGATGAATGGTGGATGGATAGATGGATGGATGGACGGATGGATGGGTGGATGAGTGTATGAATGGCTAGATGAGTGGATGGTTGAATGGCTGAATGGCTGGATGGATGGACGAATGGATGGGTGGATGGATGGGAGGATGGCTGGATGGGTGAATGGATGGATGGATGGGTGGATGGGTAGGTGGGTGGATGAGAGGATAGCTGGATGGATGGGTGGATGGATGGATGGATGGATGGGTGGGTAAATGGGTGGATGGGTAGATGGGTGGATGAGTGGGTGGACGGGTAAGTGGATGGGTGGATGGGTGGGTGGACGGGTAAGTGGATGGGTGAGTGGATGATGGATGGATGGGTGGGTAAATGGGTGGATGGGTAGATAGGTAGATGGGTGGATGGGTAAGTGGATGAATGGATGGGTAAGTGGATGGGTGGGTGGACGGGTTAGGCAGGTGGCCCCACCTTGGTTTTCCTGCACGACTGCCCTGTGCTAACATAGGCTCCCGTTGCCTTACAGCATAAAGCAAAGCACCATCTCCTCCCTCACTGTGGACATAGCCAATAAGGAAATGTCGTGCATAGATATCAAGCCACTGGTAGGTCCCGAAGCTTTGCTGCCCCACACTCCACACCATGCGTGTTAGGAGTCACAGGCCTAGGGCCAACGGTGGCATGGGGGTTAAAGGCACTAGACTCGCAATGGCCAGCTATGGTTCAAGTCCCAGACCTGGTAGCTTGCTTTCTCACTTTCCCTCTCTCTGTCTCTCTGGTCAAATTTTAATAATAATGGTGATGAACAAAGTTAAATAATTCTTTTTAAAAAATAATCACCATCCCAAGGACCTGGCACAGCCCTTCTTCAGGCTCCAGCCACGAGGAGGATCCTGATCAGGTCGTCAGGGTTACTGTCCCCACTCTGTCCTTGTGCGCCAAGGCTGCCCCCTCCATGGCTCACCAACCTTCGAGCAGGTGCTTCCTTACTGGTCATGGCAAACTACCTCTGGCCAGGTCAGGTAACAGCAATCCCAGGTGTGTCCAAGAGCCACGAGACAGCACAGGCCCACACACGGACCTGCTCGATTCGTGCACC